TGTGCTATGTGGGAATGCAAGTGAAACTAGGAACCATCTCTTCTTCTCTTGTCCCTACACTACTCATATTTGGGAAAAGATTTCTTCTATGCTAGAAATCCCATTAAACTGCATTTGGCAAGATGCTTTGGATTGGTTATGTAAAAGAGTTAAACATAAGGCATTGTATAGCTCTCTTCTTAAATTAGCTTGGTGTGCATCAATATATCATATATGGATTGAAAGAAACAACAGGATACATAAACAGCTATACAGATCTCCTTCTGCAATAATTGATATGATTCAAATGGATGTCCGAGACAAAGTACTGGGGTCTGTAAAGGAAAGGTCTTCTCCTATGTCAAGGAAAATTGCAGCTCAATGGGGATTAGAAACTTTATGTACAGCTAAGGTTTGAACATACTTTAGTTTAGAAGTTATTCCATTCTTTGTATTGACATTAGTAGCAGCTTTAAAAAGAGCTGCTTTGTATAGATTTTGGAAATAAATTCACATTTTACCAAAAAAAAAAAAAAAAGAGGTAAAGTTTTAATATTTGACTTTAAAAAAAAAGAGTAGCGATTTATTTCCACACAAGTTTAATACACTATTTTTACACAAAATCTTAATCATTTATTCAATGAGAAAGGACAAAGCAACTGGTGAAGATAGTTTATTGATTATTTTTTCTAAACAGGAAATTTGTTATTCATAAATATTAGTTAGTGAACTTGTTCAAGGGCCAAAAAGCTACTGAGTGTTTATGAGCTGTTTGAGTTTGTTTACATTTTTTCTTTACTTGAGTTAATTATTTCAATTGTGTCACCATTGTAGGAAGAAAACATACCAATAATTGAAAAAGAAAAAAATAGGAAAAAAGTTAGTTTTTCCTCTATGGTAGTCTTATGAAAATATATGAGTAAAGAAGTCTTACCCTTAATAAGTTATCATAATTGATTTATTTTATCAGTTAGAATTGTATTAATAGTTACTAATGTATATCATATATATATATACACACATAACCAAGTAGCTTTTATATATCTGTTTTCTATATAAATATCACATGGTAATTCATGTTTTTTAGAATTATTATCGTGTGTTTGAATAGTCCACTTAATGGATTCAATGAAACCAAGTGATAAGAAAGGAAGTGTGGTGGAGGTGGTGCTGATGGTAGTGATGATGCTTTTGGCAATAGGCCCATTCAACAAGTCCAACTTTTTCAGGTATCATTCTCATGGTGATCCCATTTTGGTATCAAGTAATTTTTCATTTTAGTCAAAAGTATTAACATTCTAAAATAGTTGTAGATACTCCTATATATTTATGGTTAATTTGTTTTTAACTACAATAATAACATAGGTTTTTTCATTACTTCTATAAAAATACCTCTCTGCTTACAAATACAATCTTACGCATAGAGATCAATTATTTTTTTAAACATCATATTTGCATTTCAACTCTCACTTATAGAACCATTTTAATCATCTAAAACAAAATAATTTAAACAGTTTATACATGGTGTGCACAATTGTTGATGATCCATAAATGCTTACCTTTTGCTAACAACACTTTCAATTATAAGCAACTTTGAATTCCAAAAAAAGCCACTCCCGCATGTTCATGTACTTCTCTCCTTTGGGTGGATCGAGAGCATCAAGACAAGTCTAGAGAATGCGTATATCGTTGAATCTCATTTTGTTGGCCTTCATCAAATGATCAAGGAAACAAAAGCAAGGCCTATAAATAAGAGTTTATTTCAACTATGACAATTTATTAACATACCGTAATAGATTTTATTTAAATATTTTGTTTTAAATAGATTGAGAAATTAACATAAAAAAATAAACTGCTCAAGAATTATCTATCTTAAAATTTTGAGTTTTCTTCTTATTTTTTATTAATTTATAATGACTAGCATGGGTAAGAAGAAAGGGAAAAAAAGGCATGCAAATCTTCATTAAAGCAACTTAGAGAGGGCCCAAGATGTGCACCATGCAATGTAGAGGGGGCCCAAGATGTTTACCATGCAAAAGAATTGCTACCCAACCTCTAACTCTGTTGCTCTAATTTTATTTTTTATTTTTAAATTTTTGTGGTGAGCTCTATTTATATATAATTACAAAGTTAAAATCAAAGGATTTAATGTCAAATCCAATGAAACTACTAGGATTAGTGAAATTAGGGACAATATAGTGAAAAAAAATTGAGTATACGAAGTGAACCTAACATACTAAACACATATGACTACAGTATTGTCATTACTGCAACACTGAATTTACTGCAACACTGAATAAATAAATAAGAAGAAGAAGAAGAGAGCATAGCAGATGGTAAACCTCTTAAGATAGAGTGGAACAACAGCTAAAATATTTTGAGATTCATCCTTAGCAACAATATGGCAGGGCTTCCATCCAGTTTCCTGAAAAGTCAATTTAAAGTGAGAATTTTTATATGGAGTGGTACTAAAAAGGAAAGAAAGAAAGAAAGAAAGAAAGTGGTGCAGTGGGAGTGTGATTATTAACCAACCTGGACAGTGCAACCAGTCTGTTCTAAACTTGAAAGAAAGGCATGGGTAAGAAAAGGATTAAAGTTTTGAGCACCGGAGGCATCCAAAGTACAAGCATCCCAGTCATGGGGTGAGACCTCCAAAATTGAAGAAACAACAGAGATGGAGAGCTTTTGAGGTGTTGTCTGAGAGAGACAGGGTGAAACAGCAATAGAATGAGATCTAATTATATTATACTAACCTTAACCAGATAATAAAAGAAGAGAAACACAAAGAAGTGGGTGAAGAAGAAGAAGAAGAAGACACCTGTTGGGCAGAAGAAGAAGGGGGTAAAGTAAAATCTCTTGAAAAATCCAATTGCAGGGATTTGTTGTTAGATCCCCAAAATAGTGCAGTAATTGTAGAGGCATA